GTGAGATGACATAGTCTCAAGCTGTGCTAGGGGAGGTTTAGGTTGGACATTAGGAAGAATTTCTTCACAGAAAGGGTGGTTAGATACTGGAATGTGCTGCCCAGAGAGGCATTGGAGTCACCATGGTGGTGGTGAGGAGAGGTGTTTAAGGAGAGACTGGCCATACCACTTAGTGCCGTGGTCTAGTTGCCATGGTGGTGTTAGGTCACAGGTTGGACTTGATGATCTCAGAGGTCTTTTCCAACCTGATTCATTCTGTGGTTGTGTGAAATGCAACCAGGGACAGAGCTGGTTTGGAGCCACGCCAGGGAGCAGGATTAGGCTGTACCTGTGCTTTCTCAGGGTGCTGGCAAGGGGAGAGTCTTTGGGAGTGCCACCGGTTCTGCCACACGCTCGCAAAAATCATCAGGGTAATTAGCAGGAGGTCGGAGCCATCGTGGCTGAGCCCTGGGGTTTTCTAGGAGCAGCGACGTCTGGGGATGACATCTCGGAGGCATCCTGCTCAGCCTCCATGCCAAGGCACATGTCCTGACACCACTGCCATGGGTGGTGCAGGTAATGATTTCGGGAGGGGAGTGAGGCTGGTGGAAAACACGTCCATCACAGGCTCGGCGCCGCATGTCGCTGTCCCGGGCAGATGCCCCAGGGCCACTCACAGCTCCTCCTCCCTCCCAGCACTGCAACAATGCTATGCTGAACCCAGGGAAAACAAACCCAAAACTGATGAAGTGAAACTCCATCATAAATAAGTCCCAAAGAACCAAGGTGGGCAGAGTGTGGTGTGAGGATGATACCTGCCAGCCCAAACCAGCCCAGGTGGGAATACAAACAACCTCCTTCACTTGCAGCAGCAGCTTATTAGTGGTGATATATCAGTGTCCTGGTGCTCGTTTTTTCTCCTGTCAGCAGCAGCTGCTTATCCAGCAGATTTCCCACTGTATTTCTGGGGAAATAAGCTAAAATTGATGTTCCTAAGCTGTTGCTGATCTTACGAGGAGCTGCTCTAAGTGGGCATTGGTTGCATTCAGCGTAGAGGTGAGGCAGGAAGGGATTAGGTTCAGGTTTATTTATAAGGAGTGAAAAACATCCGTTCTGAAAGAGTTCTAAATCTTGGTGCCCAGGGCAGAAGATGCTGGTCTTCCCTGGTGGTACCTTCTGTGCTCTAACCAGCCATTTAGCACAATGATTGAAACCTCTGTGGCGTCTCCAAGCTCTCTAATAGTAAATATAAGGAAAAAATGGAGTCATGCTTAAAAGGTGGAAAAAGAAGTAACTATGTATACTATTGCCTTTCATCCAGTAATATTGGAGCTAACCTGTCAGGCATCTGTGCATTCCTGAAGAGGAAACACTGAGGCTTTTTTAAAGCAGGATGATTTTTAGGTGTTTAAACCTTAAGAACAGCAGAAAGGAAAGGTCATGTTCTCAGCTGGCCTGAGGAGCTTCAACTTCAGGGTTTTCTAAGACACAGTGGACATTTGCACCTACAAACTCTTTTGGCCTGGCCAAATCCTGTGTGGAAGAGGAAAGAGGAGGAAAGCTGCTTCTGGGCTTGTTGGATAGATCCCCTTTGCCACCTCTGCAACAGGTTGTGGTAGAAAATACTCACAAAGAAGGTCCTGAAGTACCACGTCCTTGACACCACCTTGACTGTGGTGCTGTCAAGCCCTAATGATTAAATTGCTTTTTGCATCCCATCTTCCCCGTGTTAGGCTTATTACCTTTACATTTCATCTCAATTATTTGCTCTTCTCCATGCCGTCCCAGTGGTGTCGCTTGTCATTCACTCTTTATTCAGGCAAGTCTGGCTGGATGAGGAATTCCTGTGCCAACACAAGTGCAGGTAACCCTTTAGGTGCCTCCTCCGTGTGGTGGTCTGACCTGAGCTTGGTACACAAAAAGATTGAAAGATTGATTTAATGATTCCTGTTTTAAGCCTAAGCCACCACCTTGGTGCTCCAAGGGGTGCTCTGGAGCCAGACTGGGAGAGCTGGGAGTGTTTAGCTTGGAGAAGAGAAAGCTCTGGGGAGACCTTCCAGCACCTTCTTGTGCCTAAAGTGGCTCCAAGAGAGCTGGACAGGGACTTTGGTCAAGGGCCTGGAGGGACAGGACAAGGGGGAATGGCTTTCCACTTCCAGAAGGCAGGGATAGATGGGATATTGGGAAGGAATTCCTGGCTGTGAGGGCGAGGAGGCACTGGCACATGTTGCCCAGAGCATCTGTGGCTGCTCCATCCCTGGAGGTGTTCCAGGCCAGGTTGGACAGGGCTTGGAGCAACCTGGTCTAGTGAGAGGTGTCCCTGCCCATGGCAGGGGTTTGGAAGTAGATTGTCTTCAAGTTTCCCCCCAACCAGACCCATTCAGTGATTCACATGGGGGTGAGCACCTCCAAGCCTTCTCCAAGGGGTGCAGCCCTGTATACAAGTTCCTGTTGATGTGGAGCATAAGCTACTCCTTGGGATTTTCTCCTGCTCTTCCAAGAAGGGTAAGGAGCCCTGTCCCACATGCCCTGCATGTAGAGGAGGTTCCCATGCATGGCTGCAGAGCTTTGCTTTCTCATCCTCTGCTTCCATCTGGGTCTTCTGCTTAATACTACATTTAGGGGAAGCCATATGAGGAGAGACTGAGGTCACTTGGTCTGTTCAGCTGGAGGAGTCTGAGGGGAGATCTCATTAGGGTCTTCAGCTTCCTCCCGAGGGGCAGTGGGGGGGTCAGCACTGATCTCTGCACTATGTGACAGTGCCAGGATCCAAGGAAATGTCCTGGAGCTGTGTCAAGGGAGGTTTAGGTACATATTAGGGAAAGGTTCTTCCCCCAGAGGGTGGTTGGGCCCTGGAACAGCTCCCCAGGGCAGTGGTCATAGTCCCAAGCCTGACAGAGCTCAAGGAATGTTTGGACAGTGCTCTCAGGCACATGGTGGGATTGTTGGGATGTCCTGTGCAGGGCCTGGAGTTGGACATGATGATGCTTGTGAGTCCCAGCTCCAAATTTTCGTGATTCTGTGAGAACTACTTGAGTGTCTGTTGGAAGTAATGAAGAAAAATCACAGTCAGGCAGTGTCTCACTTCCCACCACAGTTGGGGATGAGCAATTGACATGAATGGTGTTTTAAATAACCAAATATGTCAGAAAAGCACAAATAAATGATGAAAAGCAAAAAAAAAAAAAAAAAAAAAAAAAAAAAAAAACCACCCCAGGGCTCTGCTAAACTTTATGGTTGCTATGCTTCATCTTAATTTTAGTGCAGGTGTTTGTTTGGAGGTGAGTGATGAACACTCCTGGAGCCTGGGAACAGCAGTGAGCAGGGAGATGGAGCACTCCCTGCCCCATAATGCATACCTTGGCTCTATTTTTGGAATAAAAAATGAATTTTTTCCCTCCTCCTGAAGATGAATGTGGCCTGGAGATCCACGACAGCTTTGCAGAGCTGGTAAAAACACTTTCCAGCACATGCCTCAAATGTTTACTCATCTCTTCATGCTGCCGCAATGAAACTTGTGATACTAAGCTGGAAACATGGTGCAAACTCCTCATTTAATCCCAGTTTAAACACAGTTTGTAAAGTGCTTGTAAAATCAGTGAGATCTGAGCCACTCCTTGGTTTCAAAAAAGCATGTTCAAGTCTTTTGTGTATGTTTGAAAACATAATCTCCTG